GTAACATTTGCTTCCGGATAATAAAACCAGAGCACAAAGTATCTAGTGAACTTTAAGGTGCGCTGCTTGAAATGCGTTACAAATATATGTTGTGTTTTTATGCGAGATAAATTGGATAACAAGGGTAGATAGGTAGAATAATTCAAAAACGACTCCTCAGCTTAAGTTTTAATTCAAGTCCTGCCATTTGGCAATTATTTGAACATAGATATCTGCTCTAAACAGATTAGTCTGGTTGGAAAAACATGATGTCTCCTTATTTCATTGGATAGACAGAAGAGGTCTGCTTGAGTCACTACCTAAGGGGAAATAACTGTTCCTTAATACATAAAACACAAAGACTATGGCATCTGGGAACTCAAATGCTGATCATCCATTGAAAGGAGAGTACACAATTAAAATTAATTATATACACCAGGCAATCAAACTACGTGTTGATTCTATTTCTATCTGCTCAAAACTTTAGTCTTGACACTTAAGAGTATGGTTTATGAAACTCAAGGAAACAAAGTAAGATGCCCTTAAATGTTTCAGATAGCCATGTGACAATGAAACTAAAATTTGGAAGAAGCAACCAAACAACTAAAAATGCATCGAGAAATGGAAAAATGCATTGGGAAAATGAAGGTCAAACTATTATATACGGTGGTAAAAACTAGTGTTTTCTAAATGTATTAGGTTGGATCACAAAAGACTGTCAATATCAGATCGTTTTTAAATTATAGAAATGACAATTTCATATATTTTAGGTCAACATCAATTAAGAGATTATTACTTTTTTTAATCCTTGCCCAAGGATATTTTTTTACTGGTTTTTAGAGAGAGAGGAAAGAGGAGAGAGGAAGAGAGAGACAAAGAGAGAAGCATCAATTAATTGCCTCTTGTACTTGCCCTAACCAGGAATCGAGCTCACCACCTTCTGGGTACTGGAGGACATTCCAACCAACTGAGTCACCTGGTCAGGGCAAGATTATCACTCTTTTAAAGAAGGGATGGTTTAGTGATACTTTGTATAGTTTATGTGGAAATTATAATGATGAAATATTATTTTTCTATTAGGTTGATGAAACAAAAAACACACATGGGGAGAAAAATCACAATTAAGCTCCTTTATTAGGGGTTCACTTCATGTCTCTGTGTCAGATTTTGGTAATTCTCATAATATTTAAAACTTTTTCCTTATTATTATATTTGCTATGGTGATCTTTGATCAGTGATCTTTGATGTTACTATTGTTTTGTGGGTGCCATGAACCATGTATAAGAATATAAGACAGCAAACTTAATCTATAACAATAAAAGCCTAATATGCAATAAGACCAGACAGCCAAACAACCTTCCGGATGTCCTTCCAGATGACCTTCCAGATGAAGCCAGGGCTGTGAGGGCCAAGGCAAGCCACCACAGCTGCCAGGACCAAGCCCCTTGCACAAATTTTGTGCATCGGGCCTCTAGTTGATAAATGATGTGTATGTTCTGACTGATCCACTGACCAGCTGTTTCCCTGTCTCTTTTCCTTTCCTGGGGCCCCTATTCCCTGAGACACAACAATATTGTAATTAGGCCAATTGATATCCATACAATGGCCTCTAAGTGGTCAAATGAAAGGAAGGATTACATGCTCCTCACTTGAAATCAAAAGGTAGATATGATTAAGTGTAGTGAGGAAGGCATGTTGAAAGCCCAGACAGGCCAAAAGCTAGGTCTCTTGTACCAAAAGTTCAACCAAGTTGTGAATGCAAAAGAAAATTTCTTGAAGGAAATTAAAAGTGATAACCCAGTGAACAAAAAAATAAATAAGAAAGTGAAATAGCCCACTGCTATGTAAAGTTTTAGTGGTCTGGGTAGAAGATCAAACCAACCACAATATCCTCTTAAAGCCAAAGACTAATCCAGAGCAAGGCTCTAACTCTCTGCAATTCTATGAATGCTGAGAGAGGTAAGGAAGCTCCAGAATAAAAGTCTGAAACTAGCAGAGACTGGTTCATGATATTTAAGAGAAGAAACCACCTACATAACATAAAAGTGCAAGGTGAAGCAAGTGCTATATAGAAGCTGCAGCAAGTAATACAGAAGATTGAGCTTAAAATAATTAATGAAGGTGGCAATACTAAACAACAGATTTTCATTGTAAATGAAACTGCCTCATATTGGAAGAAAATGCCATTGAGAACTTATCGCTAGAGCGAAGGCATTAATGCTTGGCTTCAATGCTTCAAAGGAGAGGCTGACCCTCTTGTTAGAGGCTAGCGCAGCTGGTGACTTTAAGTTGAAGCCAATGCTCTTTCACCATTCTGAAGGCCCTAGGGCTCTTAAATGCTCAGTCTACACCGCCCCTGTGCTCTGTAAATGGAACAAAGACTGTTTACTTTATAGTCTGTTATATATTTTTTAAGCTCACTGTTGAGACCTACAGCTCAGAAAAAAGATTCCTTTCAAAATAATAATGCCCATTGATAATGTACCTGGCCATCCAAGAGGTCTGGTGAAAATGTACAATGAGATTAATGTTGTTGTCATGCCTGCTAATACACTCCTTTCTGCAGTCCCTGGATCAAGGAGTAATTCTGATTTTCAAGTCTTATTATTTAAGAAATATATTGCATAAGGGAATAGTTGCCAGGGACAGTGATTTGTCTGATGGATCAGGGCAAACTCAGTTGAAAACCTTCTAGAAAGAATTCAATATTATAGGTAGCATTAAGAATACCTGTGATTCATGAGAAGGGATCAAGGCACCAACACTAACGGTAGTTTGAAAGACACTGATTCCAGTCTTCATAGATAACTTTGAGGGATCCAAGACTTTGGGGGAGGAAGTAACTGCAGAAGTGTTTGAAAGAGCAAAAGAACCAGAATTAGAAGTGGAGCCTGAAGATGTCATTGAATTACTGCACTCTCATGATGAAACTTGAATGGGTAAGGTGTTTCTTAGGAGTGAGCAAAGAAAGTGGTTTCTTGAGATGGAATCTACTCCTGACTCTATGAAGTGAAGATGCTGTGAAGAGTTTTGAAATAACAACAAGAGATCAAGAATATTACCCAAAGCCAGTTGATAAAACAGTAGCAGGGTTCAAGAGGGTTGATTCCAATACTGAAAGTCCTACTCTGGTAAAATGCCTACAGCATTGCATGCTAGAGAGAGAAATAATTTATGAAAGGAAGAGTCAATTGATAAAACAAACTTCATTATTGTCTTATTTTAAGAAATTGCCATTCACCCCAACATTTAGCAACCACCACCCTGATCAGTCAGGAGCCATCAACATTGAGGTAAGACACCAGCTAAAAGATTACGACTAGTTAAATGTTCGGATGATAGGTAGCTATTTTTTACAATTACCTATGCTCAATAAAGGTAAGTACATTTTTAGACATACTCTATTGTACAATTAATAGAATACAATGTGGTGTAAACATAACTTTTATATGTGTGAGAAAACAAAAATATTTATGTGACTCACTTTCATGTGATTTTTGCTTTATTGTGGTGGTCTGGAACCAAACCTGCAATATCTCTGAGGTATGCCTGCAGTAGTCACCTTTACACAGAATCTGGTATGTGTTCTTATTAATAGTCTTTAATTAATTCATAAATACGTCTTTACCTTAGAGTAAGGGTATTATTGAGAGCATGTTTGAATCATACTCAAGCCATATAACAGTAGTTTTCTCTCCTCTAAATTGTGGACAAAAAAAATATGTGTAGGAACATATCCAGTCCCCCTGCCCCCCATCTGACTCACAAAGGCACCCGTCTAAAGAGAAGCCATTCTGGAAAAGAAGCTCTCATTTCCTCTACTGGAATATTGAGGTATCTGTTGAGATCCCTCATTAAAGCGAGAAATGGAAGTTGCCAGAGCTCTCTGCCCCTTTAACCCAACTGACATTCTGACTCACTAGGTCACTATAAAAATCAGAATAGAACACGGGACAGCTGAGAGCACCCCCAGCACACTGGCAGTTGGAAGAGTGATGGAGGAGGATATAAGCACCTCATGGACAAGTAAAAGAAAGAAGTACTTGAAGAAAGAAAAATGTTAAGTTGACCTGGATGGAGGAAAATATTTGTAAAAGTAAAGGAATTTCTTTTAATTTGACTCCCCACCCGCACCAACAACAAAAAAGAAAGAAAAAAGAAAATGAAAAAGCTATTTCTGAGGTTTGTTGATAGAATGAAAAACAAAGAATCAAAATTAGTTATTTCCAAGGTTTGCCATTGTTACCCAATCAATATTATTAACTTTCATTATTAACTGTAACTGAATAAAGGTTAAATAAGACAATTGGGACCTGAGAGATCCCTGCATTTAAAAAAAATACTTTTGATCAGTACTATAAAATAAATAGGTAAATCACCATAAAATAGTATTTAAAAAAAGGAATGACAAATCAAGGACAACCTGTAGTCACCATTACATAAATGAAAAGATGGTTTAATGTGATGCCAATGCTACTGTCAGTGACTGGCAGTGGGTATATTTTCTCTCTCTCGCTCGATATATATATAATTTATATATATATATATTAAAAATATATATACATGCTTTTCTCCTATCTCTATGTCAGTCTCTGTGTATATGTGTGTATGACTCAAGGATGGGATTGAGAAAAAATGAACTAGAAATTGAAGAGGAAAATAATAATGCAAACAATATAGAGTGAGCGTCTCTAGATCAACTTCTCTCTTCTCCCTACTTCCCAGTTTATTGCAGAGTTTTTCTTAGGATGCAAGTGTTAGTTATTTAACTGTAGACTTTTTAAAAAATCTCCATAGTTTGAGTCTAGTTTTAATAATCTTTCATTCCCAGGGCATTGTTTATTGATAACACTGGGAAGGGATTTTGCTATTCAGTAGTATTTGACAAACTGAGTAAACTGTTTTTCTTTTTGTCAGAATAAATAGAAATAAGAGATCCTCACTGAAGATGTACCCTGATGGTGTAAATATTGAAATAAGCTAAACATTTGAATCATCTAGAAGAATAATTAGGACTCATCATGTCCTTCTCAAGCCATACCCAAAAGAGCACCAAAAGACCTTTGCCACTGGAAAATATTATGCCACCACAAGTTCCACGAAACAATTACTTGCATTTTCAGGAAGAAAAGCAAAGACTCCAGTTAAAGAAATTCCTTCTTGATAGGATGTTCCTAGTGGCCATGACAAGAGACAACATAGAAAAAAAAGATGTCACTGAATACTATGAGCAAGTGTTTCAGTCAATTGCAAAACCTCACATAGGAGAAGCAGTAACAGGATTGCTGCTCATATATCGTACTTTCATTCTGCATATCCTTGAGTCTTCCAGTGGTAGTCTTTATCGTATTCTTTTAGATTATATTAACCATAAAAAGAATAGAGGAGAATATTTTATCCAAGGGATGAAAATTATAGTCGTGTCCCATAACATCCCAACAAGGATCTTCATGCAATGGCATGTTGTGGTCATCAAAGTGCCAGTCATGTATCTGGACGATGTGACACAGTCACAGTCCCTGAAAGAGGTCATCACTGAGTTTCTCACCCAGACGCATAAACTAGCACTCTACTTTTTTAAGACTCTTAAAGTGGGCGTAAAGGGACCGGGCGAGAGCTTGCACCAACCTGCACCTGAATTACTCCTCCCAGAACAAATAATTAAGTATTTATACAAATCTGAAGAATTCATGGAACCAGAAACTTTCATAAACATGTATAATAGACCCATTCACGTCACTTTGGATACTGAGGTGGTGTGGCCTGCTCCTTCCCGTTTCTAGAGCTGGAAGTGATGATGTGAGAGATGTGGTCAAATCTCCTAAGGAATTGGTGCTACTTCAATAAAAAGAAAAGATTTCTAAAGTTACTCATTTCTTTAAAAAAAGAAACAGAACACCACAATATACACAAAGGTAGTATACAAATGTCTACAAGGTATGTTGAAAATGTATCTGTTCTGATATTAAGTTCAATATGTTATGTGAATAGGTGGAGTGGTTTCATAAGTTCTGAAAGGTTAACAGTTTAACTTAATTTATTAAATAAAACTATGCAAAAGTGTAAACACTTGATTCACATTCTCATTCTCTAAACAGTCAATGAGCAGCTGCTACCACACAGAATCAAATTTTAGGAAAACCACTTTGTTCTAGGAGTACACAATTTAGGGCAAAAATACCTTGAGTTTCTTGCAATCTAAGGTTTGAGGAAAGTATGTGTAAAAATAAATAGTGAGTATATGATACAGCATGATACAGTATGATAAAATCTCATATGTGATCACTATTATAGTAGCAGTATGTAGTAAAGACTCTAAGAGCACAAATGGAGGAGTAATCTCTATATGATTCCTGAATTCAGAAAACAAAACCTAAACTTTGAAAATAGTTCCAAATCTTACATATTTTGAACTATAAAATCAAGAATACTGAGACCATTATAAAACTAAAGAACACATTAGCTTTTTTAAATAACCAGAAAATATATTGTCAGAAGGCATTATATTTTTTCTGCAAAATCTTTTATTGTGCACCTTTTATATGACACGTTTGTCAGGTGCTAGGGATATGATAGGGTGCACATAAGACATGATTTCTCAATGATTCCATAAGAGCATTTCTCAATGATTCCACATAATATAAACAAATTGGTTATTTTTTCAGTGACTTCCTGTAAAGCAATTAATTATATGTAATTTCTATATGACCTATTTTAAGTTTGTCTCCCGTTCCTTTACCCCCAGATTAAATTTTTTACACTACTTAAAATGGTGAAGTTTGTTTGAAAAACTAAATGAAATTAATATCTTTACTATTTCAGTAATACTTATGCAAAATTACTTCAACATCTTATGAAATGCTATGGATTTAATGGAGAAATATATTGTTATTTTAGTTTCATTTTTACTTATTTGATTTTCAGTCTCTTCGGGAGAAAAAACACACAATCTCAGTATGCACCTCAAATTTGTCATATGCAGATAATTTGTCATCATTTGTTTCATATCAGAATCAAATTTCAGGAAAGACAATTTCTACTTTTACATCTTATAATATAGATTGACATACAGAATGGCATTTTCCACTTTTAACTCAACTTGAAGTTACATTCATTTATATTTACTGACAGAAAGAGTATATTTTAGATGACAAGTAATTCTTCTCGATAAGAAAGAACATATAGTTTACTAACATTTTTAAAAAGACAAGCATCCACTAATAGTAAATATTTAGTGACAAAATGAGTGGAGATAAGAGTAAATGCTTTTCAGGTGAGAGAGAGCAAGCTAGATGGAGGGAGAGGAGGGGAGAAGAGGGAGAGAGAGGGAGGGGGAAGAAGGAAGGAAGGAAGGAAGGAAGGAAGGAAGGAAGGAAGGAAGGAAGGAAGGAAGGAAGGAAGGGAGGAGGGAGGGAGGGAGGGAGGGAGGGAGGGAGGGAGGGAGGGAAGGGAGAGGGAGGAGGAGAGAGGGAGGGAGCAGAGGGCAAACACTTAATGAAGAAGTAAGCAAGCCTTGGTCTGAGGTTTGAATGAATGTGAGGAGAGGTTTGGGAGGGCAGAGGAGCCTATTTAAGAGAACAGAGAATGAGCAGAAACAGGAAGGAAAAAATGAACAACAAATGTTTATTGGATCAGATAGAATCCCTTTAGCAGGGCAAATTTTATTTGGGAACAATGTTTTCTAAAGTTAGTGAATAGAAGTACACTTCATAAATAAAATTATATACTAATAGATGTAAAATATGGCAGGTTATATTTTCCGAAACTGGCTACTACAGTATAACCCATCCCACATATTCTTCTTCCAGTGTGACCTTAACATTCCTCCATCGCATGGTGGCTTCTACATCCACCATGACCTTTGTGATTGCCCTAACCAATAGAGAATAACAGAAGTGATCCATGTGACCTTCAGGACTAGGTCATAAAAACACCATCTACTTTGCCTAGATCACTTGAATGCTACCTCTTGGAACCTAAACAATATGCTGTCAGCAACCCCAGCAGTTTTCCAGATGATATCCCTGGGCTGAGGTCCCAGCCAACAGCCAGTAACACCTCTACACATGTAAATGAGTGAATCTTCAGGGGATTCCAGACTCCAGCCCTCCAGTCTGCCTGGATTTCAAACCAGACCAACTGACAGTGCATGAAGCAGTCAAGTAGAGAAGCTATTCCCACTGAGCCCTGTCCAAATTGCAGATTTGGGAACATTAGTAATTGTTGATGATGTAAGCCTCTAAATTTTGGGTGGATGATTATCAGCAGTCTTGGCCAATAATGTATATGTAACAGGAATAATATTATATATAACATCTAATTATATATAATTTTTATTATATATAATAATTATATGGGTAATTTAATATCATTTATTCACTCATATATGAAACTAATATTTACTAAATGTTTGCTGGTAAATATTTACCGAGGGCCAAGCACTGTACTAGTCCCGGAGTATATAAGCAACAGTAAGATTTGTATCCTCCACACTGCCTAGCATAGATCTTTTATTGGTCTATAATACATTTTGGTGTGAAAAGGATCAATAAAATATTAATTCTTTGATCCAAAGGGGAAAAAAAGTAAAAATATGAGTCATTTTTGAAGAAGTTATAGATACTAAGCAATAACATTACTGATTTAATATACTGTTATTTCACACTTAAAAAATTAATGAGGTGTCAACTGTGAAAATAACTAGAAAATAAAAAGTGACTGTAAACAAATTAAGCTACTTGTATAATTATTTCTTTATTTTAGTGAGCACACCAGAATGAGTTTATTCAAATGAAAGTTACCCTTCCTAGTAGTCACCTTAGGAGGGTTTATACTTATTCCAGTCATCATTGCTGAAAACGTTCTGTGACTCTTTTATGGCAGATAAAGAGGTGTATAAATCAAAAGGAGCATAAATATTTTAGTAACCTCTAGCTTTTTGATCACCCCACTTGATTTGTGACTTGATATTCGATCTTTGTTCATAGATAGGTTTGTTTTTAAATGTTGCTCTCACTCTCAAAGGAAGATCTGCTGTCACTGAACATATTGACAGAGTGTGATATTGCCTCTACGGGGAAACACAAATATGTTTCAGTGAGCCACATAGTTGCATTATTGAGATTCCTATGTAGCTCACTAATATTATGTCTTTAAAGGGAACATCACTCATTTGAGTGTGTATGTTTGAATATATGTGATAAATTGCAGAAATAAATACTATTTAATTTGATCGTGTCCAAAAATGTGACTCACTAAACCTTAGAAAGACTCACAAGGTAATTCTCAACCCAATGAGAGTTGTAGTTTCCTTACAATAAAACTTTACATAAAAGCAGAGTACAGCCCGGCTGGCAATGCTCAGTGGTTGAGTGTTGATCTATGAACCAGGAGATCGGGGTTTGATTCTGGCCAGAGCACATGCCCAGGTTGTAGGCTCCATCACCCAGTGGAGGGCATGCAGGAGACAGCCAATCAATGATTCTCTCTCCTCATTAATGTTTCTGTCTCTCTCTCCCTCTCCTTTCCGTTCTGAAATCAATATATGCATATATATTGACATATATATATTTCTATCTCTCTCTCCTCCTTTCTTCCTCTCTGAAATCAATAATATATCTATATAATAAAAGCCTAAGCGACCATTACAGTGGAATGACCAGAACGGCTGGTCGCTATGATGTGCGCTGACCACCAGGGGGAAGACGCTCAATGCAGGAGCTGCCCCCTGGTAATCAGTGTGCTCCCACAGGGGGAGCACTGCTCAGCCAGAAGCTGGGCTCATGGCTGGCAAGCGCAGTGGCAATGGCGCGAGCCTCTCCCGCCTCCATGGTAGCACTAAGGAGCAGCAAGGAGCAGTGAGCAGGTGGGCGGTAAGGAGTGAGGGCTCCCGGACTGTGAGAGGGCACAGGCCAGGTTGAGGGACCCTCCCCCCCAACCCGGAGTGCACTAATTTCGTTCACCAGGCCTCTAGTTTCTAATACCTGCCCTTGTTTCCATGCCCACCTTACTCCACCTTACTCCCTCACTCCAATCTCCTCTTTGTTACAGCCAAAGGTGACCCTGAGTGGGGGGGGTGAATGGATTGAGAAAAGACAGACAAGAAAATGAAAGTTGGGTCTCAGTGGGATGCTGCTCCCTGATGAGGAGACAGCGCCAGTGCCCATAAGCCGTGTCTTTATTTTATAGCAGATGCCACGAGGCAAAGTAGGGGCGTGATCACGTTGTTTACAGCATTCTCATGAGTTCCAACCCTACTCAACTACATGCACCTGAACTCTAGCACAAGGCACGTGGGGCTACGTGTTTGGACCATAGGTTCAAACTTACAACCACAGCCGTTGGCTATTGATTGTGCTGGGAGGGCCCGGCCGTCCAGCTGGGCATTAGTCTGAGGCTTGAACCTGGCCAAAACACTGTAGCTGCGCCCCACACCTCTTCCTCCCCTCTCTCTTTCTAGTCCATATACTATCAAAGGTAAAGGCAGTAAAGCATAAGGTATAAGAGAGTCACCTCTGGTATCTAATTGCTCCACTGAAACCTGGCTCTGTAACCTTTTTTAGAGCTGTAATGTTTTGTGTTGTGTGTGTGTGTGTGTGTGTGTGTGTGTGTGTGTGTGTGTGTGTGTGTTTTCATCTTTCTGCCCCTGGGTTTCTTCATCTACAAATGGATGTGATAACAAATGTCTACATTATTGGCTTTGAGCTTTGCATGAAACAATGCTGTAAAGATCCTAGCATACGGTAAGCACTCAATAAGTTTTAGTTCTCTGATCAGACTTCTT